GCAATAATATTGATATATATATATAGTATTAGTATATAATATATATAATTATATATATATAAGCCATATAAAATATGGAAGCATAATACGCATATATACAATATATAGGGCAGTACATAGGATATATAATCAAACCATTTGTGTTTGTATATCTATGCTGGGAGCTAAGAATACGTGCCGGATAACCAATATGCGCATCCAGAAAAATCCTCACTACAATTTACCCCTCAGAAAATCCTCTAATATTTTTTCTACATATCAGCTATAATATGTTGTCAAACGAGATTGTTACAATCTCTCCTGACGATCGTGAAACCGTCCCATTTAACTTCGAGAAGTCTATACAGAGGCAGTCCGTCTACCATCGATAAATATATGCCGTATGCCGGCTCCGTCGACGCCACCCATTAGTTAATCGCGCTAGCGCGATCAACAACATTTGCCCCCCCAAATGAAAAGACATTCCTTGTCCTCAGCTTGCCTCCCTCGCCCTCCACTTTCACAATCCTGTGCCGTCCACAGTCATATCAAGGCTGTTTTAACGTATGTAAGTATTAACTAGTGCTAGGGCAACATATATATAACATTAATTATATATCGTATCTCTGGTAACGAAACCTGATGCCCAGGTACGGGCCAAGCGTATTCTATAACGGGTTGGACAACTGTATCACGTGGTCTTCATATTGGTGTAATAACTCTATAAAACTGACCGAATAGATGCGGCACCTGCTGTTGCAGTTAGTCTTGAAAAGTGTGCGGATGTAATGAAATAAATTTGTACGTGCAAAAGCAGAATTAGCCTGCTCACATATACAGGATATTAGTTACGCACACGCACGCCGTATTGTCCAGCGAGCTATGACAGGTTATCTGTTGCTAGCGAACAACCTACAACAAGTCATGTGCAGTGTCGTTACTTGTAATTGTAAAGTCAAGAGCTCAGCTTGTGTACAAACGTCTCAAGTCTAAGACTCCTAGTAGTAGTAGTAGTAAGTACTACTAGTACTGAGACAGCGGCAGCCCCACAGGCACTTGAAGCGTTTCATATAAAAATACTATAAACGCCTACGCAAGGGGTCGTGTGCTGTCACTTTCACGGGGGTGATGGGGTGAACTCGCGCTGATGTGGCAGTTACTCACGTTGCCAAGCAACATCAGCGCGAGTTCACCCCATCACCCCCGTGAATAATACATGCACCATAGCTGCCATGTGTTTTGTGTACATATATCCAGTAACGTCACGCGTGCGCACGCCACTTCGTTTCAAAATGAAATGACAGTAGTACAGATCATACTGAAATGACAGTAATGATCACTAAATAGCGAGAGCGCTGGGCGTTCTCTGACATTTAGCCTCTCTGCATGACGCTGAGAGGGGATGTTGTGGAATGGCGGAAATGAGTGTGAGGGGGAACGCTAGGGGAGGATGCAAGAAGAGATTCTGATGCGAGTGATGAGGAGGAATAATGTGCAGGGGTCCGAGGGGGAATGCTGCGTAGAGATAAGATGGATATACATCGGAAATCAAGGCGATGGCTTTATGAATTGCAATCCATCGGCGAAACGACACTTACACGCACGCACGCACGCACGCACACACACATACACGTGCGCGCGCACACACACACACATACAGACACACACACACACACGCACACACACTCGCACACACAGTGACACACTTAAATATAATATAATCGCTTTTGCGCAAGATTTCGCTAGTTCATTTGTATCGATGGCCGAGCCAACCATAGAAATATATAGAGACACTAAAATAGTCTAAGTAGTATATTATTTCTATGTGGCCAACCCGTGTTACTCCTTCCTTCATCTCTCCCCCTCCCCCTCACCACAACTCTCAATGAGAGATTGTAATCATTTTCTCTTCGTTAACGTCTCGTATTACTACGAATAGTCGTCAGCGTTCTGAGAGATACAGAAGAGAAAGAGAGAGAGAGAGATATAGAGAGAGAGTGAGAAAGAGAGAGAGAGAGATAGATAGAGAGCGAGAGACAGACAGCGAGCGAGAGAGAGTGAGAAAGGGAGAGAGAGAGATAGAGATAGAAAGAAAGAGCGAGAGCGAGGCAGGCAGACAGAGCGAGCGATAGTGAGATGGAGAGACATTCTCTTCATGAAGGTTTTCTAGCCTTTACACGCACACGCATACGCACGCACACGCACACGCATACGCAGTGACACACTCGGACGCACACGCACACACAAACACGCATGCACACGCACACGCACACGCACATGCACGCACACGCACACACACTCACATGCACACGCACACGCACACGTACACACAGTGACACACTCACACGCACACACACGCACACACAAAGACACACAAACACGCACGCGCTCACACGCACGCACGCACACACAGACGCACACACATGCACTCGCACACACAGTGACATACTCACACGCACACATGCATGCACGCACGCACGCATGCACGCGCGCACGCACACAAATACACGCAGTTATAAAATAGTAGTTACCTGTCACGAAATGATCAGAACAAATAGTGGAGAATTTTGACGGACTCCAGTGCGTACCATTTACATTTACTCTTTTACTCATTTACATTTAAGTGGCAGTCAGTCACTTATGACTTATCACACCTCTCTGGACTCATGTCATTTTGGCAGCTCAAAAAAATATCTTTTATTATCTGTGCAATATATATGATTGTGACAACCTACTACTACACAAGTTTTCGGCATATATGCAAGGAAATTAATATGCTTTTGGTTTGCAAATCGGGTATTGCGTGTGTAAGTTCACGGAGACAGGCTGTTGTTTTGACCGGCACAGCTGGTTGCTAGGTTAAGAAAGTCCTGGATGTGGCAAAGTTCCCGGCTGTCCGCCCGCACCTATAATCGCTTCCAGACCTCGATCATGTCACCCCGTCTTTTTCTGTATAAAAGAGATGGTAATTTTTGTAAGAGATGGTAATATACGCCTAGTGAGAGCCCGAAACGGGCATTACACAGAATAATAATGTAGTACAAATATCTATCGCTATAAAGTTCATAGATCATCTTTTGTTCAAATTCTTTAGTCTTCGTTCACTTTTTCTTTCATACTGTTTGATTCTCTTGATGTTGAAGCATTCACAAGTTTGAGCTAGATGACGTTGCCGATGAGAATATGCGGCATCAGAAAAAGTCCTACCTACAATGTTATCCCTCAGAAAATCCTCTACATTTTCTACATAGCAGCTATATAGTGTTGTCAAACGAGATTTGTTACAATCTCTCCTGACATCGTGAAACGTCCCATATAGACTGAGGAAGTCTATACAAGGCATGTCGGTCTACCATCGATAAATATATGCCGTATGGCCGGCTCCTGGACCCCACCCATTAGTTCTCGCGCTACGCTCTCGAATTGGCGCTACGCGATCACAAGATTTGCCCCCCCCCAACATTTTTCCTTGCCCTCAGCTTGTCCCCCCTCCCCCACTTTCACAATCCTGGTGCCGCCACAGGTCATATCAAGGCTGTTTTACGGTATGTAGAGTATTATACAGTGCTAGGACACATATATATTAACATTAATTTTATATCTATCTCTGGTAACGAAACTGATGCTAGGGTACGGCACGTATTCCATTAACGGGTGGACACCTAACTGTACAGGTGGCTTCATTATTGGTGTATTAACTCAATTAACTCATAAACTGACCGATAGATGGCGGCACCTGCTCGTCAGGAGGCATGAAAAGTGAGGTGTAAATGAAATAATTTGTACGGAAAAGCAGAATTACCTGCTCATATACAGGGCATAAGTTCCACACGCACGCCGTATTGGTCAGCACTATAACAGGTTATTCTGTTTGCATGGAACAACCAACAACACCCCTGTGCAGTGTCTTTACTTGGTATTGGTAAGCAAGCTCAGCTGTGTTTACAAACTCTCAAGTCTAGACTCTAGTAGTAGTAGTAGTAGTACTACTAGTACTAGACAGTCGGCAGCCCCACAGGCACTTGAAGCGTTTCAATAAAATATATAGGCCTACGCAGGGGTCGTGTGCTGTGCACGGCGACAGTTAAATATATAGCTATATATATAGCTATATATATATGTATATATCTATATATATATAGCTATATATTAACTGTCGCCGCGCACAGCACACGACCCCTGCGTATATATTTTATTGAAACGCTTCAAGTGCCAGGTGATTATAGGCGAAATAGAGTATAGAGAAGCATTAAGACTTTGGTACATTTCGTGTTTATTTACCATTATATTTTTTTATCGAGACGTTTCAAGTGCCTGTGGGCGAGAGCGCGCTGGGCGCTCTCTGACATTTAGCCTCTCTGCATGACGCTGAGAGGGGATGTTGCGGAATGGCGGAAATTGGTGTGAGGGGGAACGCTAGAGGAGGATGCAAGAAGAGATTCTGATGCGAGTGATGAGGAGGAATAATGTGCAGGGGTCCGAGGGGGAATGCTGCGTAGAGATAAGATGGATATACATCGGAAATCAAGGCGATGGCTTCATGAATTGCAATCCGTCGGCGAAACGACACGTACACACACACCCACGCACGCACGCACGCACGCACGCACGCACACACAAACACACACACATACACACACGTACGTACGCACACACACACACGCACGCACGCACGCATGCACACACACACACACACACACACACACACACATTGAAGTTATGACCGCTGACGCTCACCGACCCAAAGTTAGTGTAAGAAATCGTCAGTGACACACCGACGTTTGTTTTTAGTTGACGTGGTTTTTACCAATTCTTGGTTAATGCTGGAATTGTGCACCGGCGACACTATCCAAGGCCAGCGTCGCCTCATAAAACGGACTGATATTTGCCTGAAACACAATCCTGTCTTTTGCTTCACTAACTATGTCTGACCTGTGTAACATACGGGTGACAAGGCTAACAATCTCAATCAAGTTAGACCGAGTAGCTTTGCTGGGCAAAGTCTGTTACGGAAACCATGGCAACGCTGTTACGGAGACCCTATGATCCACGTAAGATGCCAAAGGGACAAAAACTGACCAAACTTACGCGGGTCAGCAAAAGAAACGACTGCAAACCTTTCAGAATTCGCTGCGATTCCCTAAATCTCTGAGAATTAATTACGGAGCTTAAGTTAGTTTACGCAGCAAAGTGGAGTGCCTGACTAATTGTTGACTCTCTGACCCTCGTGTTCGTTCTCTTCTCTTCTCTGCGGTTCCCGCCGCGTAAACCAATTTACTCCGTTACCGTTAAATCCACTCTAGAGACCTCGTGCTTTTTAGCTCACCTTGACATCATCAAGATGAGCTATTGCCATGGCCTGGTCGTCGTCCGTTGTACGTCCGTCCGTCCGTCCGTCCGTCCATCCGTCCGTTAGTCCGTCGACATTTGGCTACGGTCAACGATAACTCAGGAACCGTTTGACCCAAATGTTTGAAATTGGGTATAGTTGTTACTGCTATGCTCCCATACTGAACGTCTTATTTTGGAGCACGCCAGTCGGCGTACTTTCGAGCCACGGCAATATTTTGGCAAAAATGGGAATTGCCATTAGTCAGTTCAGGTTCAACGGATTTTGCTCATTTTTTGTATGTGAATGAATAAGGGCCAGGGGTTTTGATATTTAAAAAAAAATTATGCAAATTAGGTAGGTTTTGGCAATTATATAGCATATTATGTTATAGACACGCAGATAACAGTCTGTGGTGTCATACTCGTCTGGTTCGTTTTACAAGATTTTATTGACAATATAGTTAATGCAAAATTGGTATTTCCTCTCCACCCTGCTGATAAAACGTCTATATTAGAGTAAAGTTTTGCAAAACATGTCGGAACGCAACATAACCTATTTATTTCGAACGTATGATACCGGAACGTACCCTGGTAACTATCTAGCTGATATGGTTAGGGTTAGGGTTAGGGAGTAGGCATAGGCGACTCCCTAGACTCGTTAGTGGAGTAGGCGAGGTACGGTCCGGCATATTAGATAGTAGTATATAGTACCAGGGTACGTTCCGGCAGTAGGCCTTTCCTGGGGGACACAGACCCTATCAGCATAAGTTACTGTCCGAGTAGCGAGTAATGGTGAGAGTAGCGTACCATATCGTAACTTTCGTAAATGTTGGGGTACACTCTTAAAAATTAACAGAGGTCTTCTTCAGGTTGATGTCTAATAATTTCTAGCAAGAAATATGTCATTTGTTGTCAGAAAGGCGGGACAAAACGTCCTTTAACCGAGGGTACTCGCCTTGTTTTGACTGTTTCTCACCATTTCAACGCTCGCGTATTTCACGCGATTTCACCTACAATCCGTGTGCTAGGGGCCTCATATTTCTCTTCATATTTGCACGCGTCATTTACGCACTTATAATTACTTGGTATCCGCAGTCAATAACCTCAACAAACGTTGATATTGGGTGTTTTCTGCAAAAGCAGGATTACACAGCTCTAGAAATCACCATTTCAGTAGATTTGTGCAAGGTTTATGCATCATGAGGTGATACTTCACTGTCATTGCCTCACAGAATCTGTCGTTCATAAAATGTGCATCTAGGTGAATCATGGAGGAAAGCACAGCATTCTGTACAGAGGAGGTCTTTTACCGGTATTCCGTCACCTCATTCGAAGACAAGCTCATGAAAAAATACCGTGAGTTAGAAGAATCGAGACTGCCAAAGGTGGCCAACGACAGCCGTTCTCATGCCGATGCCAAGGCCTCGAGAAGAGATAGAATCAAGGCACAACAGAAACGTCCCGGCATCAGGTGAGTTACAACATGGGTTATGTAACGACACACTGATACATGTACACAATACTGAAGCAGGGCATGAAATTAAGATTTTTTTTGCACCGGCCCAGAGGACTGGCAACAGCACTTTTTTACCAGCCCTCACCATAATTTACCAGCCATCATAATTTTTTTTCCAAAATAAAGACAAGACTGTTTCACTGAATCTTGCTTGTCCGAAAAATGTTGTAGTGTGCGACATCGCATAGTAGCTGTTGAACAGACTATAATGCAGATCGTGAATGATGTCTGAAGTGTTTTTGTCAATGTCATGTTTCACGCTTTTGTAATTTGTAAAATCTTGATAAATTATGACGTGATATCCTTCAGGTAAAACAGCAATGTACGCTATTTGTTCATTAATGCTATAAATAAAAATGTAGGCTAACACGGCTGAAACCATCGGCTCGGAGGGCCGGTGTTTTGCCAATGTTAGGCCATCCTTAAAAAATTATATGTTTGCTGTCCTCCGACCGACTCACGAAAATAGCCGCGACCCAAAAGTTTTTTTTTGACATTTTGGGTTCCATTTTTTTTATTTTTTTTATTTTTACATTTCTCATAGTTAAGACTGAAACACAAAGCATGTGTGGCAAACATGAGGACAGACTTAAAATAACTATTATGCCTTACAAAAAAAAGAAAGACCTACCTACCTACCCACTAAAAAAATCATGGGTCGGGGGGACAGCAAACATTGAATTTTTTAAGGGTGGCCTTACTGGCCCTCCAAATAATTTGCCAGCATATGCCGGTGCATGGGTCGGTGCTAATTACACCCCCTGGTTATGTAACGACATGCTGATGTACACAATGCTGAAGTGTCCAGATTCTCAGGTTTATCTTAGAGCCAGCATCTCGGGTTACTCCGGTTTGAATTTGAACATTTTTAATCGAAGCGTCACTGTATTTTTTTTACATCCTAGTGAAATAACGGAGGAAGCTTTGCACGTGAGTCCTGAGCATGGGGCGGCGAGGAGTCACGGTTACCCATGCCCCAAAGTGCCTTACCCCAGACGATCTGAACTGACACAGGATCAGATGGCAAAGTACATCGCTTTGTACAATATGTACCAGAACTACACACCGCCTCAGCAACCGGATCCACTCGTTGTCATGAAGATGTTGGAGTTCAGGGTGAGTATTATTCTCTCTGTTTAACACTAATGTGGTTTACAGACTATGATACTTTTAGATTTCGTATGTAATGATATGTATGTGTGATTACAATACATACCAGAAAAGCAGCATTGTCCCTGTTTCCAATGCTCCCATGGCAATCCTGGCCGGAAAATATAAATGTGCACAATCATGTGTGCAGTACATGATTACTAAGTTAAAGTAGTTTATACTTCTTGTAAAAAGTGACATAGTCATATTAAAAGAGCATTACACCAGATGGAATACAGGCAGGACCCTGTCAACATGTGAAATATGTATTGTAAGTGCTTAGCTGGTTGAATGTAGCTTTCTAATAGTTCCTTCTACAGTCTGTGCTGTGGTGCACATGCAGATTGTGAACAACTAAATGAAAGTTTCAGGTTAGCGCTAATTGAATCACATCATTGAATTTGACAAAATATTAATTTCAGGATCTACAGCAAATTGTTTTGAGAGAGCAAGAGGAATTTATGACGTATCTGAAGTTTGCAGCTAGAAAGTGCACCGTCGATTATTCGTTTCTGCATCCAGAAGCAGCAAAATATGTTCAGGTATTTTTTTTCCACGTGTATATCAAATATATATTTATATACATAATACATGCTTACATAAATATGCTTTGCAGGTATTATGCCACAAAAAATTAAAACTTATTAGACTTCATGTAGCTATAATTATGTTCATTTAAATCATTAACTTCATAAGTTTTTATTACCTCAATCAGGATAATTACAGTAGGAAATCCTTGTTGCGATTTAAAGTTTCATCCACCAAATTAGGAAAATCCAAGTATCAGTTGCTAACTTGCTAGTAATTTTACTGCTAATTTCATGTAGGTGTAATTTATGTAAGTATGTGCACCCACACACTCGCAGATATTAAGATCGAAGTGGATACCAAATTTTGTTCCGTATATTTATATATTTATATCGATTCGCCATAGCACAACCCTATACGACTTGTAAAGAAAAATACATACGCGGCCGAGCCGTGCAACCGAAAATCAAATGCAGGTTGATTATTCGACGGTGCTCTCGTGAAACTTCTCGCCCGTACCAAGAGGTCAGGGTGTGGTGGTGGTCGCGTGTATTTAGACTGGCGTTGTCGGACTACGCGTGACGATTCGTTTGGTCTGTGAGCAGGAGAGACGGGTGATGCTGCGTCGGAGGGTGGACGACTACCCGCGCTTCTACCAGCTCTACCAGACGTCATCGTTCTCCAGCAGCAGCAGCAGCAGCAGCAGTGTAGGGAAGCCAGAAGATAAGGCGATGCTGCAGCACGAACGCAGCCTCCTACGCATGGTGAGAACATTCTTCTTCGCAGTGCAATCCCGCTCGAGTGATTTTTTTTACATGCTGGGAGCCAACGTCGAATGTCACGCATCGGTCAGCAGTGAACGAACGAACGAGCGAGCGCTAGGGGTGTTGCGTGAATGAATAGATGGATGAATGAATGAATTAATTATGTAACTAAGTAAATATGTATATAGAAGAATGCACGAGTGAGTGGGTGAGTGGGTGAGTGGGTGAGTGGGTGAGTGAGTGAGTGAGTGAGTGAGTGAGTGAGTGAGTGAGTGAGTGAGTGAGTGAGTGAGTGAGTGAGTGAGTGAGTGAGTGAGTGAGTGAGTGAGTGAGTGAGTGAGTGAGTGTGTGTCTGTGGGGCAGGGGAGTGAGTGAATGAGTGAGTGAGTGAGCATGTGTGTGAGTGAGTGAGTGAGTGAGTGAGTGAGTGAGTGAGTGAGTGAGTGAGTAAGTGAGTGAGTAAGTGAGTGAGCGAGCGAGCGAGCAAGTAAGCGCGTGAGTGAGTGAGTGGGTGTGCAGGTGGGTGTGTGGGTGATCATTAGGTGGGTTGTTGGGTGGCCTGGGTGGGTGTTTGGGTGAGTGAATGAGTGAGTGAGTGCATGCATAAGTGAGTGAGTGCGTGCGTGTGTGATTGAGTGAGTGAGTGAGTGCGTGCGTGCGTGCGTGCGTGCGTGACTGAGTGAGTGAGGGAGTGAGATGGGATGTTACCCGTCGGTCATCGGTGAACATCTGCTAGTGTTGGTGGTCTCCGGACTCCTGCCCACTCATAATTACATACACGTAGTCGTCAGTAAAATGATCGTTAGAGATGGTCAACATGATTCTGCTTGGCTGCTGCTCAGAAGCAAGAAATTAATTAGTGATTGCCTGAGCTGAGATTACATATGAGAGATTTTAAATGTGCCTAGGTTCTGTGGAGCATAGCTGTGAATGTTTTTTTTACCTGCTCTGATGTAGAATGGTGTAGTAAATGCATATGAGAGGGAGGTGTTGAGGAGGTATGGTCTAATCACACTGATCTTTGTCACAATGATAGGGACTTATAATTCTCATGTGAAAAATAATGCAAAGAGCTAAATTAATACATGTCTTTTTAAATTTTAATATACAATTGTGTATTAATTATAAGAATATCAACAATAATATTACAATTAATTGACAATAATTATTATACAATTATGCTATTTAATTTACAATTATTACAATTAATTGACAATAATATTAAATTATAGTCATGCTCTATCACAATCCCAATCATATCTCTAATGGATCTCGGGTACTGCACATCTCCTCACATCATCTAGCTGTCGCTAGTGAATGATGTAGCTCCGAGAACGGATAATGAAACCCTAGTAAGCTCTAGGATCACGATGTTGTTTATCCTGTTATGTAGTGGGTTTTACGGCTATGCTCTGCATTCCTGTAGGTTTAAGCTCTATTTATATGAAAAAGCAACAGTTCGATTTTACGTATCAAGTAATATCGTGAGTTGAATGTGCCAGCTATTTGACTGATAAAATATACTGTCCTGTTAATGCGATATAAGGTGAATCATTGCTGTTATGCATAGATGAACAACTAACTATATATACACTTCATACATGATACGTATTCTTTTGACAGGGAAAAGTTCCGAGGATGATTTTGAATGTACCCATCAAATTAACCCAGAAATACGACGTGATATCGAAGAGGTATCCATGTGTACGACAGCATCACTGCGACACCATGTATACAAAACAGGTATAGATGCATGCCGAGTAACAGCATTCACGTTATTTCCACTGCCGTTTACTACTATTTACAGCCATTTTCTGCATAAATATCCTTTAATTTATCATGATTATCATTATAATTAATATTCATAATATGAATGTAATTATATAATTATAATAATAATTAATATATGAATGTAATTATATAATTATAATAATAATTAATATATGAATGTAATTATATAATTATAATAATAATTAATATATGAATGTAATTATATGATATAATTATCATTATTATTCATCGACCTGGACTCGCAGGGAATCGGATAATACTGTAAAGCTCCCTCATTGTTTCCAGCCAATAAGCAAGGACAGGAATGCAGCGATGTTAGCAACGAAGCATCGCACGCATGTGGCCATCACCTCCGCAGGCCTACGCGTATTATGCAACAATCTTCCTCCACATTTCAGCCACCAGTGGGAGTTACCAGTCACCGTCAGAGAATCTGTGAAGCCAAGTAAGGTTCAGCAGAATAGAAGTTTTTTGTCTAGCTTAAGGATACACTCAGGGTTATGGAGGACAGGTACCGCTGTAAAGAGCATTACAACGTAACTGCTTATCAAATCCGCATCAAACAGATCTATTTTATAAAAGAGTATCTCTCTACGCTCACCGTGAAAATAATCACTGAAACTTCATTGCTAATTACGTGACAGCGAGTTGTGAGTTCTGAGAAAACACTTTTGAGACATCAGCAACTGCAGTATTATTAACAATGGAGATATTTGCGATTTTCCACATTCTATGATAATTGAACGACTGTGTTTAGAATTGACCAAGGTATGCACAGTTGCTACTGTTAGTACTCACTGCGACTACCGTCACCGGTTACCGTCATTGGCCGATTACCGTTAACAAACTAAAAAAAATCATGTTGCTATAAATAACTTTACAAAATAACTGATCAGTTTCAATTTCCCATTTACCGCCCACTAATTGATGCACACTGTGATGTCATTATCTCTATGTAAACAAACGTGCGCCGCAACAGCGTGTTCAAAACAGCTTTGACAGCGTTTCTGATTCGCATGCTCGGGCAAGCAGTGCATTCTGAGATAGCGCTAGCTAATGATGTACCTATTTAAAGGGCGTACCGGGGTTTGCAACAGCCATGTGAGCATACGCTGGGATTTTAAACTGTTTGGTGGACCACATACATAATAAACTCCAACTTAAATCAGCAGTTGTTGTTACTAACACAGACGAATAAACTGATAATATAAATTATTTCTCTTTCCTGCCTGTCGTTACACCTTCATTGACTTAAACCACCAATTATCAAAAATACTTAATTAGAACTAGTATTTATGAATTATGCAGCTTGATCATTAACATGAACACTGTCATGTTTGTTGCTTATATGACAGACAGACTCCACTTGCGCTGGCGAAACTCACGGATTACCGAAATTCTGAATTACTGTATATGCTGTATGCAAATTTCGCGAACACGTCCCCGACCGCGAAGATAACAACACGCGAATAATTCGTACCGAATAATACCGAATAATTCATAATTCACCGACCGCGAAATTAACCACTCGCTAAATTCTCCGTCAAGTCTAAATTCGCGAAAATATCTGTATGCGAAAAATATGGCGTATACAGTACCAGAATTGCTCACAGACTACCAGATTAGAAAATCTAGTAGTCTGGATGACTGCCAGACACAGAAGGCTAATTTATCACATTGATTAGGTATTTTTGTTTGTGTGTGTAGATGGTCCACCGTTCAAGATTGTGTTTGTTGACAAGCCATTACCTGCAAATATTGTAACAGCTAAACAGAAGAATTGCCTCTTTCACAAGTATGCTCTTAAAGCAAGACTGCTGCATCCACACCATATAAAGGCACACAGGTACAGACTTGTCATTCAAGTATATCGAGAGATGTACTTACAAATTGCAAGTTATATTATTATTATTGTTATTATTATTATAATGATTATTTATTTTTTATTATTATGATTATTTATTTTTTATTATTATTATATAAGCCGTTGTGAGCAATGAGGATGCAAGTACATTTTATTACCAATGTACTTGTAGTTGTTTATTTTGGTATTTATTACTTAATGCATATGAAACCTTTCACGCTATATTGTTTGTTCAAGGTTTTCAGGAAGTGAGGGTGAAGTGAGTGCTAAAGAAACTTCATGTGTTAGTGTGACCGCTTTGTTGGACGTGAGCAATAATGGTGCAAATAGGTTGGAGCAAGTGGTCAGTGAAACTTTACCTCGTTCAGCACCAGGTGTCAGCACTGTGTCACCCGACAAGAGAAGACGTCTGCCAAGTGAAGCAGACGCCGATAACGACATTCGTTTTGGACACAATGTGAACAAGAAGGCTAAGCTACCGTCTAACACAGAAGTTTGTGCTTCTGGTACAGATGCTGACTCTTTCAATCTTCAAAAATCACCCGTACAGATCCTGATGCATGATCACGAGAATGGTGGTATTGATCTCAAAGGTCAGACAAAGGTCGATTCCCCAACGCAAGATATCGCCAGCAAATCCGAGGACACGTCTGCGGGGGAAGAAGATGCTCCTGGTGAGATAGCTAGTCACAATATGACAATCACGCGTTTGTTTGTGCTCCCGGGATATGTAATAATGTGAACGCGAAATTTAAACGTGCAAAAGGCAGGCTGTAAGCAGCTTTTGCTGCAAGTAGAAAAAACAGCAGCTTCCAGCTGTTGCCTACTTCAGCTTACAATGCATTCAAGTGCACTAGCTTTACAACACAATGTGTGTTTATCTGTAACGCGTTTAGTTTGGTAACTGTACACTATCTAAATATTTATAACGACCCAAGTCATTGGTTTGGTAGGCGTGATACGTGTGTGTAGCACAAGGATTCCCCCCAGTCTCCACTCCCTGCATTTTTCACCGTGTCTGCCGCAGACTACGGCGGCATGCCACGTATACCATATATATTCTTTGCCTTGACGTTTTTTTTGCGCCACCGGAAGCAGCGGCTTACTCTTGCTTTACTGCTAGCCTACACTAGCGATTTATAACTATCGGAGTCATTGTTGGGCGGGCGTAGCATGCGTATCACCACAATTGACCGTATATGCGCTGCTGTGTCTTGCACCATTTTCACGGACTGCAGCTATAACATCAGGAGTGCGTGATATAGATACATGTTATACACCTGATAATATATGTTATACACTCCTGATAATATATATTATACAATATGTAATATATATTCTTCACCTTGCTGCCGTTTTGCGTCGGAAGCAGCAGAGGCAACTTACTCGTGCTCGGACACCGACGAGGAGACAACTCTCACGATCGACGTGGGTAGCGGCGGCGACGGCAGGTCCGACGAGTCCGGGCCTTCAAGGCAGGAACCTCAGCGTCAGCTTCCCACGCGGGCCAGGACCCAGTCCAGCCACGAAGCACAAAATCAAGGAGCGAATCGTGACACGCGGCGACAGGCCGAGAGGTGACGGGTATTTGTATGATCAAAATGTCGAGACACGATGCGCGTAAACCCGGCGCGGTGCCTTGTGTGCTGCTCACTTGTTTCATATTAATTTGTTCGTACTAATTTTTGTATGAACTCATTTATCCCACTCGGTAGGCCTACATGTGGTCACAAAAGGATTCAATAGATTCAGATACGTTTCAGTATCTTAATTTCAAACTTCCAACATGGAAACTTGCTGCTGCAGAAACCTCTGTTTCATTACTTCCTTTCTCGACAGGTGGCAGCACAAATACAGTATCTTTTTAACACAAGCTGATCTATGGTTCATATGCCGATAGTGCGATATAATGAAGGCATTACAGTACATTACCCGGCGATTCTTACGTTGCAGATCGATGCTGCAGGGTGGACGAGAACACAAAAACCGATGCAGCACTTTGTGTGCTTGCATCTCAATTATTCGTCCTCATTGTTGTATGCACTCGTTTTTCCTGCTCAGTACATTACCTGGCAATTCTTGCGTTGCAGATGCTGCAGGGTGGACGAGAACACAAAGGCAACGCTGGACGAGATAGCACGCCTGCAGCTGAAGATGACGGAGGTTTCGCGGAAGCAGGCAAACACCTCAACAGAACACCAGTCGTGTCCAGGTACGGGCTCGAAAGATGACAGTAAGTTTTCGCTCCCGCTCAGATGACGTCAGCACTGGTGGCCATCTTTGAAAAGCTAGTGGCTCTCCCTGCAGGCCCTAAAGATGGCAGTTGGTTGTGACCTTATTCAAGACGTACCCTGGTAACTATCTGATATGCCGGACCGTACCTCGCTTAATTACTCCCTACCGTACCCTGACTGTCCCTGTTCCGCCCACTACAGATGTTGCAAAATTTGAAATGTACATACAGACCTGTATGATATCTTTATAAAGTTGGATTGGAGTATGAGACTGTGACACCAAGAAGAAATTTCAACCTATATACACTGATGCGCGCAATCCTTTTGCAAATATCGCGATGATCGGGAATGCGTTTTCCTTTCGTAATGTTTACGACATTTTCCTGCATTTTCGCGCGAGATTTTTGAAAGATGGCTCCAAGTGTTGTGGTGAACAGGAAAATTTGTATGATTATCTTAATGGGTTGGAAACGTATAGACTCGCTGACACTTGTAGAAAGGGTTGGGAGGTGAAACGTAACAGGGTAAGGGTTACGAATATTTTGCGGGAACGGACCGGAAACAAGAAACGGGAGCATAAAGCGGCGCGTTTCCTGCCGACAAGCGGTATGTATTACGACATCGGCTGAAAGTCAGGGTACGGTTTGGAGTAGGCGAGGTACGGTCCGGCATATTAGATAGTTACCAGGGTAAGTTCCGGCAGTAGCCTGGGGGACATAGACCCTATCAGTGCTACTATAGGTTGTCTCACATATACCACAATGTTATTTAATCCATAAAATAATTTGTATGTTTTAGTTTGTAGCCTTACATGCTTGTTTAGGTGCTGTCCTCCTTCTAAGAAACTAACTCGGGTTGTCAACTCTCTAACTGTTACTCGGGTCGGTAAATGATCTAAGCTTTTCCCAAACCACCAATTGTTTCAGAGAGTGATCTGCTGTCTGGAGATAAAAAAGAGGAGGAGGAGGAGGAGGAGGAGGAGGAGGGTGGGTTTCTCCAGCCACCGGAGGATGATAATGTCACCTACTCGCTCTGCACGCTCGGTGATATCCGGTTGCTCGTGCGTTGCTCTTATCACGGCTCGCAGCGACGGGAAAATCCCACCGTAAGTGCGCTACTACAGGGTGCGAAATTAACGAGTCCTAACGAGTCCGGAGTCAAATACTCCCTGATTTACTGTCGGACTCCCTGATTTGACATATGCAGGAGTCTGTGTGACTCCCTGAAAATTCTGCCATACTAACTAGTTCGTTTCGGAGCACGGCCTTGCTGAATTACTGTATTTTTTTTAGCTAGATGTTCAAAGAAAATTTGGCAGACGTGCAACTGCATGAATCTTAAAAATAAGCACGTACATGCGTTATTGTTAATATCTTTAATTTTGAACCTCAGTCTGCAGACTCCCTCATTCCCTCATTTTGCTGCGGACTCCCTCTCTTTGAGGGTGTAGGGAGTCCGTTGGACTCCCTTGTTCAAAAGTAAATTTCTACTTCTGCTACTATATGTGTTTTCGTAGCATTGACGATTGAAAACAACAACCATACCTTCAGGCTGATACCTTGTTTACCACTTACAGCTTTTATTGATTACTACACCACTTTTATAATTTTTACAGTGAAATTATTTATATTATCTATAAATTATAATAGATATATTTTTTATTTTATTTATCGACTTTATTATTTTTTTCACGTTTTAGACTAAGAGTTAATGGCCAAAGTGAAATTTTATTTATTTGTTAGGCCAAACAATACATTTGTTACCGTTATCTTTTGTTGTGAGCACTACTGTGCTAGTAGTGTTCATGGTGTGGAAGAAGTGTCACCCAAATTGTGAGCGCACCAGTTTTGTTTTGTACAAATGCGTGACAGCCCAAGTGGCACTGTCCGATTTTGAGCGACACATCATCTGGATCAGGTGGTAGTTTCATTTGCATTTCTCAAGGGTCAACATGACGAAATGAGCCATTATTCTTATTATTAAATCTTTATTGCATGTTAATACAAATACATATACTGAAGACAGTCTTTTTCATTGAGAAAAAAATCTGATAAATGCAATAGTGTTAAGCAGTATTTATAAAGACGGTATATAGTACCTTAAACGTGTTATGGTATACAACGTAACGAATCAGCTGCCACGACGATGTGCCGTGTTTTTTAGGAGCCACAGTTTGTTCACCTGGTGCCGAAACTTGAGTACCAGCTCAGCCACGGCCTGGAGGAGATGACACAGACGGAGAATCTCGCAGAGTGGCTAAGCCTCGTCGTTAGACCCCACTGCAGTCTTCTCAGAGGTAGGGTGGACATTACTCCGGAATAATTAAGTGTATCACGTCTGCATGTGTCGCTCAGACAAGTATTACATACGAACGGCTCGTATTGCACTGCAACAACGTCTTTATCCTGCTCTCTGCTCGAGGAAGATAGTGTACGACCCAATGCCACGCGGTAACAGAGAGAGAGCTGGTGCTTGCGCTCAACTATATAACAACGTAGTTGGCAGTACAATGCTGAATCACATGCATATTGTTACAATTAGTGCGCGTAGCTACTTTTCTACTGAAAACTGTAGCAGTTAGCACATATTGAATGAGATGCTCCAATAAAACAAACAAAAACATTTCCTGACGCACGACACGCGATAAAAAGCAGTGCATGAAAAGTAGCGGATTTAACTGAAGCGGATTCTCTTGTAGTGAGCGCGATCGATTGTCATATGTTCATTGCTTTCGTTGATCGAATATCGCGGAAAAAATTCTTATTATGACTATCTTCAGCGAGGATAAATCCGCACACCGCCGACGTGGTCGCGCACGACCTCATCGGTCTGGAGAACGTGACCAATCGCAAAGTTTTCGCTCCCGCTCAGGCGACGTCGGCACTGGCGGCCATCTTGGAAAAGCTGGTGTCTCTCCCTGCAGGCCAGTACATAGTACAGCACTCCCCTGGTGACGGCCACATAAGGATGCTTCGTAACACGGAAGCCAATAAGAGGTGGTCAGATTTACGATGGAGAATGATTTTTTACCCTCCACCCCCCCAGTTTTTTGTTATTTCATTAACTTCACTATTGTGTGGCAGGCTCACCACATCAGTTTCGATACAGAAAAAACATTAATTATTTATATATATAATAAAAGTGTAATATAATAAATATGAGCTAAATTCTATTTTTTTAAAATAAATGCATTACGTGATGCATCTTCACAACCTAATCTAACGTGATGTATAACAGTATATATGTATGTAATAATTGTTATACATTATCTGGTAAACCAAGACCGAAGTCTACTTCTCAGGTTTCACATATTATATAATAGCTCATCTTGTATTTTTGTCATGATGTTATTTCGTAATCTACTGGCGTGGCTGACTGGAAGACTGAATTGTCATTTCGCCCTCCATCACTCCAATAAGCATTGTCTATGAACTTGTTTAGCTAATATATTACCTCCAGCATGTAATTCGTAAGTGTAAATAAAGTAAATTGAATTGAACCGAATTGAATTGCGTGCTCCCGTGTAATTCGGACGCTGGCGTTCGTTTCGTGTTACAGAGGCGTGTACGATCTGCACGAGGAGTACGGGACCGGCGATCGCGACGCAGACCTCACACCTAAGGATGTGCCGTGGGTCGCGATCGATCCTTCAATATTCACCCAGCAGCATAGGCAGCACAATAGAATTCCCTGCACGTTCGATCCAGCCGACTACGTTGAGCCACAGCAGTTCCAATCCCCGACCAGGGCCAGTCGTCACACGGGTCATCAGAAAAGACGTGGTGGCCAGGGAAGGGGTAGGGGGAAATGCAGGAATCAAGGAGATATGCAAGAAGGGCAGGGCAGGGGTAGGGGGAAATGCAGGAATCAAGGAGATGGAATCAAGGAGATATGCAAGAAGGGCAGGGCAGGGGTAGGGGGAAATGCAGGAATCAAGGAGAGATGCAAGCAGGGCAGGGTAGGGGTAGGGGGAAATGCAGGAATCAAGGAGATATGCAAGCAGGGCAGGGCACGGAACACACAAGAGGAAGGGGCGGGCGTTCAGGAAAAGGAAAGAAGAGAGGCGGTGGACGAGGGCAAAGCGGTAAAAACCACTAGAGATGGTTACATATTGTACATTGGTAAATATTGTACATTGGTTACATTGTGGATTTAGAATTTGCATGCTTCTTCATGATCATGTTTTTACGGAGTCATTGCATGTAGTATTACAATTCCTTTAATGATCTAGGTAGCATAACACAACGTAACATTATTTAATTACCATCATTTTCATTAACATTAAAGGGCTCTTGATAGTGTGTTCAAAGGTCAATAACTGAATTCTCTGTGTAATTATTTTATGCTCAAATTAAACTGAATATCAGTAATATGAAATGTTATAGCAATTTATTAATGTAAAATTTTTATAGTTTCAATGCTAGACTGAATACATCCACCTGAACCAATGCTTACATTCTGATGTGTCACACGATAGTGAAAGAAGTGTAGTGCATCGTACAGCTCTCACCAACATGTGCCAGATTGACAGGTATATATAGTTCACATCCATATGATTACATATATATATAACATTTTATATCTCCATCAGTGCTATCACACCATAGATATATATACAAACACATGTGTTTGTATATATCTGACTATGATCACACTCAGTGGTAAAAAAGATGTTTTCATCACAACGTTTGTCATAGAAAGGTGGAACAAGTGTGCATAATATACGATATTTTATTTACAGATTAGACGTCCCCGTTTAAAAATAAAAGCCCACCAACCCCATAAATTTTCCACCGACTGCATCATAATATACATTTATCAACATATCTGGGTATTATACAAGTAACAGAGAATTACTGTTAATGCAATTATCACAAAGTATATGGCAAGACCAGACTGCGTAGAACGTCCATCCACATTAGTTTTTTTCTGTCAACATCTTTGTCTAACCATACCAAACCACAAGCATGTACCTTTTAGAACAAGCGAGTATAACCAAACTAAAAACCATACACACTCACATAAATTAATGTCTATTGCTCATTCACACAGAATACTATTTGGCGGTGACTCACCATCACTTCGTGTCGATGACATTTTTCTCGTAACCAATTCTGGTATAAAATATTCAAACGTACACAACTTAACACACGCTCGTTTTTGAAATAATCTTCATGAATCGCTATGCCAATTTTATGATAAAAATGGTGAAATTATTACCATTAATTATACCACTCAAGTCCACACGTGGGTGAAGGATGCCAAAATCTACACGACAGAAATGTGAGTCTCAGTCATTGCTAACAGGAAAACTGACAGTGAGATAGAAGGTCTAACTTGATACATGCTTATGATCAATAGCCACCAAATTCGCCACTATCTGTACATATACACTTTTGCATACACTTTTGCTACAACCACGCATGGTTACCCAGTAGTGAGTACAAGGGATAATATACTAATATACCCGAAGAAGGTATTGCACGCACAATAACACGGACATTCCCAGTCCGTTGCATGTTACTTACATTGAGCTGATTACCTGTAAATAAAACGCAGCATGCTCGTGTTAATACAAGAATGACGAAAGTAATAGGTAGCTGTTCCATAATCGTCAACCTGTCAACAGTCATTTTGAAATGACGTGTGACAAGGATATGATTGTGCAAACTAAAGAAAGAGCATCCACTTCTCTAGTATTAGGCAAAGTGGTCCGCATATATAATAATATAAGGCTATACAACCATACAGAGCCCGTTATTGCAAGTTCATCTACAACCGATTGGATTTAGCTGAAGTTTTTTTTCTTTATTTCATAGTTGCTGGACTCCCAAGTTACCTGCCGCTGCTCTGCACTTGCAAAAACATAGCATACACCAACGCACCAATGTGCATAATATGATTTACAGCCCTACTTGGCCAAACCCCAGCTGCTTAATGGTAATGATTGCATAAACGTATGCAGGTAAACATGGCAAACAAATAGTAATCCACACCACCGACAGGTTTCGATGTTCCAAATTGGTATCCCATGTTGACTTTCGAGCGAGACTTCAGGTGAGTCCGATAAAAAAAAACAAGACCGTACAGTACTGTGACTTGTGACATTCAGATTGTCCACAAAACGCATTTACTTTAGCCGTGCACTGTAAGTCACGTTATCCTGAACACCATATCACATAACCTGCGGCTATTTACAAAATGATTGTCGAATTGATGACACTGCATGTTATCGTCAGACACGCAGGAGTAATACCAAGGTGTAATTATGCCTCTCCTGTTTACTTCGCACTAGAAATAGCAAGTCACCATAGTACCACGAACCTATGAATACTAACTCGGTTAAAACTCTGGTTTTAGTCTGGCATTCTGTGGTCTGGCCACGCCCATGGTCCAACCCGCAATTCTTCCGTGCAGAAATATTACAGGTGCACGAAAAAAAAACTAAATTTGGCAGCATGAATGATTTCTTTCTCTCCTTTATTCTATTATCCTTTCTCTCCTTCCATTCTCATCTCTCTCCTACCTTCTATTCTCAATTCTCCCCTACCTTCTATTCTCATTTCTCTCCTACCTTCTATTCTCATTTCTCTCCTACCTTCTATTCTCATCTCTCCCCTTCCTTCTATTCTCATTTCTCTCCTACCTTCCATTCTCATCTCTATCCTACCTTCCATTCTCATTTCTCTTCTACCATCTATTCTCATTTCTCGCCTACCTCCTCTCCATTATTCTACCTTTCACGGCATATCAATAAGTACGTAGAGTGACCTGGTAAGACTAAGCATTATATAACTAGGCGTGTTTACATACGGAGTTCGCAAGAGTCAAATTTCGAGGTCTGGTATTTTCTTTAATACTGCACTTCTAATCCACACACTACTAATCCCAAGGGTGACAGATTAAGGAGTTTCAACTGTATACATATGTTCATAGTAAATTCCTGCAAAAAATTTAAAAAAAAAGTTGACACAACCTTCATGTAACAGGTGACATTACGTAAGACCAGTAATGCATCAGTAATTTCAAAGTATAAAATCTATTATGAAAGCACTACTTGTTTCAGCCAGAGTTTGTCCATGGTAAATTGCTAAAACAGATATAACGATTTGCATAAATCTATCTCCCGAATGCTGCCTTCGAAATTGCACGTGAGGCTCTTAAGGTATCAAAGGACACCTACTGTAGATTCCCAAGCTTTTATTGCCCAGGTTGCTTTCCTGATACCACGCGATGAAGAGCTGTAAGGGGGTAACACGCCCCTGAAGAAACCGGTCCGAAACCACAACAGAGGACGTCGATTGAAGCTTCTGACCAGTTTAAGGAGACAAGTATTACGTTCTGGTGATTTCCGTGCATCGCTAAGATGCCGATTAATAATACCAAAATTTCGTAAAAAATAGTCCATGGCAATATCTGAAATAATGCCCACTTCACTTCTGGTATTACATTTTGATGTCGAGAAACGGGATATTCGAATAGATGTGGTATATGCAAAACTACTTATAAATATACTAATGAACTGTTACGTGGCCTTAGCCTTCCAGTGGTAAAAACAACTATTCTACGTTTCTACTTTCCATTTGAGCAAGTGATACACCTACACGGTAATATAATTGAAAGCTATGTCCAAATTAAAATAGATGAAACTGAGCTTCAGTAAAACAAGTTTCTAACATAAATGGCCTCAACCGATTTGAAAAACCAAAAACCAAAATGGACGAATTTCCAGTTTTACGGGGCATCACTGCTACCATGTGCTGCTACGCGACCATTGGACAAATATGTCACTGTACTAGACCCTGCCTCTAACAACGGGGTGCAAGAGTGTGACCCCACAGAGGAGCTGATCATCCTGTCCTGTGTAGACTGTACAATTAGTGATGAAACCTTTCATTTCCCTTGTAATAGTTCCTCAAACACTTGACACAGACACCCTGACTACCAGCACAAACAATAGCAGCTAGGCTGGCTTCGACTACCACAACCAATCACTGAACAAGATTTTCTTTGGAAATGTTCTTAATAAAGAGAGCTAATCAATACAACTTAACGCACCACTTGTTTCCACTTACGCTCGCAGATGCTGTGACCTCTAGCCTAATGAAGTCCACCATTTTCCCACGCTAAACAGAATTTCTGTTAATATAAATATTCAAATTATACAAACACCATCTGCACATTCCCATTGGAACTGCCATCATTTGGGCAGCAAGGCCAATCATCATAACAATAATAAAATATAAATACAGATCTTCGCACACTCCCGAGACTTGCCCGGAAAAGCTGACTGCAATCGGCCCAGAGTTGAGATTCTACTGGACTTGCGTTTGCAGCCCCATAAAACTGAGGCAGGTCTTCAACAGTCAGCTGGATGCACAAGGTAGCCAATCGGTTTTTCGCATCCTCAATCGACTTTGCCTTTTCGAAGAGCCATGTATTCAGAGTCGTACTATCAAAAGAGAAACGGTAGACGCCTGCTATCAGATGCTGATCGACGTAAACATTAGCATATACCAATATACCTACCACCAACTTCCACCAACAAACTGAACAACCTTACCAACCCACCAACCACCACCAATCACCCCCAAACCACCAAAACCACCAATAAACCACCGATAACCATACTACTACACAATCGACTAACATTCCAAACCACTGACTAACATCCTCTTGCTGACTATCACAAATACTGACAATCTTGTTGTCTCGCTCAAGATATGTACACATCATCAGCACGGAAGCACGCATGCCATAGTGCACCTTAGCACCTCAAAGAAAAACTAACCACCCTCGCGCAAGTTGCATGTACATACTATACTCATAAACATCTGTTTATTCACACACATAGGTTTCATTTATAATCATAATTATTACTTAATATCTAATCAATCCTGTACAAGAGTTTTCATGTAAATACAGCTGACCTTACTGAACATCTGTTGAATCTCACACGGTACTGGTTGAATAAAAAAACAGCTACTACTTCATGTGTACTCAATATCACGCAGCAGGTTTCAACAAACAAGTGCCGCAGAGCGACAGCGCTCAACTGACGTGTACTGTAGCCGGGTATTCTTCTGATAAACTCACTGGCAACCGAATCAAGTGCGCCCTCCCGCAACCACGTTCGCGCTCAGAGCATATATCTAGGATACTACTAATACAGATCTGAAATCTATGATAGCTAGGCTTTGCTATACCGGTAGTACAGTAATAAAGATACAGCTGCGTAACTTTAATGACTTCGCTATATTAACATGTTATCATGGATATGCGTCGAGCGCAAGCGTAGTGGTGGTGGTGGGGGAAGAGTGTGAGGAGGGGGCAGGTGGAGGGGGGTGTAATAGCAAAAACAGTTGCCGTGAGATAGCGCGTGAAAGTGTCATCAATAATCAAAGATGGCAACACCCTTCGTGCGTGATAACCTCACTCCATAGAGTTGCTGAAATCCAAGTATATTCAGGCAGGCGAGAATTTCGCTCAGCTGTGAGTTAACACATCTGCATTGCAGGTCGCCAGGCAATAATTATGATTAGAATAGTGCCAGTTCACCCCCATGCATGCATAATGGGCTGCCCCCATGTTTTTGCCTACCCACGCGAGCATTCAGGGTTCATTACATTGTGCTAATACAGGGTGCTACTCAGGGTGCTAGTACAGACTGCTTTAGAAAATAATATGATTTAAGGAGCGTAAACCTTGTTCAACAAACATTGGCCTTTGCAATTGAACTATGCAACTATAGCCTCACATCCACAATAGCAAAAGCAGTTCAGTCCTTTGTTAACAGTCAACAAATCCATGTTTAACCCTTCTCTTGAGGGTCAAAAGGTTATCCGACACTTACTCTTCGCATGTCAGCGGAAAGTAGATTTTATGGTCCTTTCAATAAAGCCATAAAAATGGTAGGTCACCGCTGAAACAAAAAAGTTTTTCAATCGCTCCGTCAGACCATGTCCTCAGAAAATGTCTAAAATCTGCCCTGTGCCCCATTGACCTTTCACCTGTGACCTCCAATTTCGGCACAGTGATGGCTTTTCCTACCATGATGCTATACACCGACTATCACGATAGCCTAGGTCGAGCCGTTTAGATTTGTGCCGCAATTCTGCATTTCCTCCCTATACCTTAAGTTAAGGAGGGAATGTTCCCCCTTCTTTTACACCTCTTGACCTTTGACCTTTGACCCCCCAGCTTCGACATCCCAATTCGTTTTCAGATTACCCCCCCACGTCCCGAATATCGTGACCGTACGTCAAGCCGTTTAGATTTGTGCCCAACTGTTGACGGACGCACGCACGCACAGACGCACGGACGCACGCTCATGCGATTCTACAAGCTGCATCTGACAATGTCAGATGAGCTAAAAACAGATATCTACTTTGTATCGCACGCAGGGGTTTCATAAATAATTCTGCTGGACTGCTGACCCCACTCTCACTTAGCAACCTACAATCACCTAGTTTTACGACAAATTTTGCAAGGATAGACTTTGGAATGGCCTGTAATGATATCTCTTTATTCGCCGTGCTAATTACTAAACCCTGCGCATACATCTATTATCAAATGCATTTTTTTACCACACGTTCTGACGACAACCGTGGCATGCTTAGCCTAAACTTACTGTTGCCAGTTGTCGTCCTATATTTCCTATAGTCACGCCTCCTGAGAAAAATATGGAAGGTAGCCATGACCGTATGTACAAGAAGTCAGGCTCGGTGTACCTGCAAAGTCAAAGCAAATAAGATTTGCAGAGCTAGCAGAGGTCAGTCGGGCACACAGCATAACTGACTGCCGCACCAATTTGCTCATGAAAATCAGGAAATTGTCAACTGATGGAAGATACTGCCAAAACTCTATTGTACAGCTGAGCACTATGCTCAAGTGTCATGAGCCGGTCATATACCACAAGAACAAATGATCTCTCAGTTCATCCATGAGAGAAACGAGACAACTACTAAATGTACATCAAGGGCCATAAAAGAGCTGTTTGCAGGGTTCGAAATCAAGGGCAGCAAGTTTCAGTTTTGCTAACTACAAGGATGAGTTTACTGCTTGCTCTCAATGTTGGCAGCATATATACTTGCTGCCAAGAAATTCCTAATAACCCATATAGTAAAAGCACGAACGATTCTGTCTGGGTGAGTAAATTTACTGCCTGCCCTATTCTATGGCAGTGGTAAAGAACTTAATCTCTAACCCTGCATTTGTATTCGAAAAGTCGCAAAACCGAATCATCTTCGCACTAAATATTGACATCAATCGTTTCCACACAAATCTGGGCAATGAAATTTGAGTACCAGTACATTGAATGCGCAGAAGAACATACACCACAGCCTTCTGCCTTTATGATCTGAAATTTTACAATAAACTATGTGAACAAGGTTTTGAATAGCAATACAAGACTCAAGAGAAACACAACTTACTTGTAAACACCGTTGTAGACAAGAACCTGTATTACGAATGTCGCCAGGACCGCTATACCCAGACCGAGGCCGAATCCACTTCTTGACCGGTCGAAGACCCACCACAAGCCGAGAGACAGCGCGGCAAGCGTTAGAGACAGCTGGACGTTATTGGCAAAGTCAATTTTCTGAAGAATCACTTAAGGAAGAGTCAACAGTGACTTAGTAAATGGTTAGACCAGATCTGCACTTATTAACGTTGGTGAAATGTGGGAACATATGTGCAAACTATGAAACAAGGATGCAACATCTATCGTAAAAATATAAAATTGTCTTACTATAAAATGGTCGACTGTAGTGCAGTGACATGAGAAGAAGAAGAGGAAGAAGAAGAAGACAAGTGCCGCATAGCGACAGCGCTCATCTAACGTCTACTGCGGTGACTCTGTGGTGGAGTGGTGGGATTCTAGTAAACCCTGTTAGTCCCAAATGTGTTCACATACACGCCGAAACAGTGGAATGCACAGGGATGGTATCAGGAACCTTCTCAAAAGAATGTTCGTTGGGATCGTTATGAAAGTTGCCACGAGATGGCGCGTACGTTTAAGTGTCTTCAGATTAAAGATGGAAGCTCCCATCATACGTAGTAGCAACAACTATCTGCAAGACAGAATAGGTAAGCACTCATCCATTTACCTACGCAAGCCTACAGGCTGCAATAGAGAGCTGCCACCTGTAACCAATTAACGCAGGCAAAAACTCCACAGTACCACCAACACATGCACTGGCAGTAGCCACTGGCAGTGGTATACGTTACATGTAACATACTGACAGTACAGAATGCCATAGAAATTATACGATTTAAGGAGCATAAACCTTCTTTAACCAAATTTAGCTTTTGAAATTTCACTGTGACATTGTAGCCTCATACATGCAGGCATGTATAGATTCTACTAGCAAACCCGGCAGTCAAATTCTTTCTAACAGACAGTCAACAAATCCATGTTTAACCCTCCTCTTGAGGGTCAAAAGGTTATCTGACACTTACTCTTCACATGTCAGCAGAAAGTAGATTTCATGGTCCTTTCAATAATGCCATAAAAATGCTAGGTCACCGCTGAAACAAAAAAGTTTTTCAATCGCTCCGTCAGACCATGTCCTCAGAAAATGTCTAAAATCTGCCCTGTGCCCATTGACCTTTGACCTGTGACCTCCAATTTCGGCACAGTGATGGCTTTTCCTACCATGATGCTATACACCGACTATCACGAGCCTAGGTCGAGCCGTTTAGATTTGTGCCGCAATTCTGCATTTCCTCCCTATACCTTAAGTTAAGGAGTGAATGTTCCCCCTTCTTTTACACCTCTTGACCTTTGACCTTTGACCCCCAGCTTCGACATCCCAACTCGTTTTCGGATTACCCCCCCACGTCCCGAATATCGTGACCGTACGTCGAGCCGTTTAGATTTGTGCCCAACTGTTGACGGACGCACGGACGCACGGACGGACGGACGCACGGACGATCATGCGATTCTACAAGCTGCATCTGACTATGTCAGATGAGCTAAAGATGAAGAAGAAGAAGAAGAAGAAGAAGAAGAAGATGAAGAAGAAGAAGAAGAAGAAGATGAAGAAGAAAGCAGAAGAATAGGATTGTGCAGATATGACTATACCTACGATTATGACTACATTCACGGTACTTAGTAAACACAATAACGTAACAATACGCAGTTTACGAAAACCTTGCATGTGTTGCACAGTGCAATCGCGACGATCGCGCACAAACCGGCCTGCGGTTCGTACTGGCGGCAAGGATACAGCGCTGGCGTGGTTGATGCCGACGAATACGGCGACACATCGCATCACACTCGACCATTCCCGCTGAAAGCGGTGCGGCTCTCCCAGCTTGTCATCCAGACACGGGTACATGAGGCCGATAATCGCTGCAGGTACAAACCAGGGAAAAAATTACATTTTTTTCACGGGACCTCTTCCAAAAGTCTGTGGGAAAAATAGCTGTCGTCAAAAATTTTACGAGAGCTATTTTGAGCCTCACGGGAGCGATTTCGGAGGTTTGAAGATCGAATCGCTCATCGTTCCTGTGTATTTTTTACCCTGGTACAAACAAGCTACCGTGAGAGAACTGCCGTCAACAGTGTAACATAGAAGTCCGTGCTATCAGTGGTATCACCCTGTCAATACGGTGGTACATCGCTGGTATGCGCTAAATCTGTGCTGCACACAGTCCTACATAGTACCACAGGTGTTACGCTACCACTCGTCAAAATAGCCAATTGCTACACTTTTTTTGTACTGGCTGTAAAAAACATTAGACTGGTTATTTTTGGCTAAAAGTGACCAATTTGCATAATTGGCAACTCATAGCAAGCAAAGGTCCAGATTCTGACTCCCCTACAAGCATCACAGAGCTGAGATTCTGTGTATTTTGTTCATGTAGGTAATTTAGAATGAAATTATGTGGACGAAAAATTGCTACACATTATTAACATTGGCTACAAAAAAAGCCTATTGGCTATTATTTTTTGGCTACACTTTTCAATTTCCCAGAGTAACCCCTGGTACCACATCGCACTTTGAAATGCAGTTTCACACGTTGTTTAGCAAGTGATTCCTGTCTGTGATACTGATAAATAATAAAGTGCAATCGCAGTTGGTGTTGTCTTTTGTTGACGTCTTTGAGATGATGAGTACTGACTTACCAGCGGCCGCCCCACAGCATGGTGCAACCCACCACGCACTGCATGTGACACTGTCTAGCACCTCTGGTGGGAACAGAGTAATCTTTCGCTGAACCTAAAATAGAAACAAAATGCACACTGCTGTTTGATATGTGAATTTCGGGAAATTAATTTAAAGTTACCACGTTGGAAATTATTAGCTTAAATTGACTACGTCACGAATTTTCTATGGTGAAATTTGTAAAATTTTTGTTACCATTATTTTTACATTAAAAGTAAGAACTAATGGGACTAAACGTATCGTCAAATTCTTACCTGATAAGATTGTTTCTCAACTAGTTAAAAATCCAAAAAACCTGGTCGATTTGATATTACTGTTCCTGACATTAATTGCTTGCTATGGGCTATGTATGCGTCACGAGTGTATGTTCACATCAAACAATATATAAGAAGTATAATGCAGCAATTTAACCATAAAAAGTGAACAGAATTACTTATTTTTTGTGTAAAAGTAGAATTTTTTGTTTTTTAATTTTTTAGTATTTACGGTGACGTAATCACTTTAATATCAATGCTGGGTTAAGGAAAGTAATTTTGATACCAATAGATGAGAACCGATTATAACTCTGCGGTTCTAAACAAATTATTAATTTTCTTAGAAAGAAAATGCATAGATACGAAATTCAACAACTGTCCTCAAATCAAATTGTAGGAACCCTGCATAAACTTAAAGGAATTAGCCTAATAATAGGTGAGACAAATTCAATGATCAACTTACTTGTAGAAGATTTAGCATCAATGAAAAGAAAACTCCAATGATGAAAAGAAGCATTCCCCGCAACATTAGATGTTGTATGATTTTAACGCTTGGATTAGTCACAGGCCTAGAACTTGCCATTGTCCCTGCCATTGTCACCCTGACACTTTCTTTCAATCTAACAAAATTCAAAATATAATCATAGACTTAAATTTCTAACTGACTCACTGGAATATTGCTAGAAGTAGAACATTCCTGCCAGACTTTATCACAAAAAATTTCAAAGTCTCTCAAAGTGTACATTCATGTTTAGAATAGCTATAGATGCAGTCAGTTGCGCTGAGAGGGTCTATGTCCCCCGGGGTACTGCCGGAACGTACCCTGGTAACTATTTGATAGGGTTAGGGTTAGGCAGGGTTCTCCCCACGTTGCGCAAACGGGGCGCGCCCGCCCCGTTTGGAAAAACTCCCCCCCCGTTTGAATCGTTGCGCCCCGTTTGGAAAATTCCACCACAATAAAAGTTTGACAGCGCCGGAATCGATCGTCAAGAAGTACTATTCGACCAGGACACCCGGCGCATGTATTTTTACAGTACCACGCATGCACTGCAGACAATACAACAGTCAACCTGTCCCACACTTACTGTACTTACTGGACTTGCTGTACACCGACTCGGCTATATCTTATATATACAAGAACCCCAAATATCGTCTATGGTGTGGTGGCGATTTTATGCATTAATTAGTGTTACGGTAAAAAAAACACGCCCCCTAGTTTA